CAGGAACAGATTTATGAGGTGTGTGTGGAAGAATATGGAGGAAAGGAGGTACAGGATCGACTGAAAGGATAGATCAGACTCGATGGGTTGAATGGCCTGCCTAGCCATGTCCCTACATTTCCCATCACCATATTTCTAACCTAAACACCAGAGAAGGTTGCATATATTTCAAGCTGCCAGTTACTGGATGCAGTTTGCTAGCTGCAGATCAGCAGGTACGCACACAGTAGGAAGTTGATGTGATGCTTAGTGGTTTCCAAGCCAGCACTTGCTAATTAATGCTCTCACTGAAGGGTTAATTAGAGGGAAGGCAGCGCGAAGCAGTGGATACGGTCCTTGACACTTACTGTATTACGAAGGGGATGGCGATGGAAGTCGGGGGTCGGTGGTGGGGGGAGGCTGTAGGTTTTCTTGCAGCCCTGTCAAGCTGCATAACACCATGCGTGAGCTTGCATACGGAAACCCTCTCGCATTCTGGCGAGATAATGAGAAACAAAGAGCAGGCTTGAAATGTGCTTAAAATAACTTTTGTCGGCACAGTAGGGAGCAGCTCAGTAATTCAGTCCCGCTGTGAGCAGAGTCAATTTTGTCCTTGTTGAGAGAAGCCCACCTGAGGTGCCACAGGCCAAGGGCTAAGGATCACGGAGCAGGGCCGAAGCTTAAAGGGCACGGCACAGTCCGTTATCTAAATAAGACTCCGAGGGCCCACAGTGCAGGATCCAAATGAAGGTCCTGAATAATCAGTGGAGGCCATTAACCCCTCCAGCTCATTCCATCACTCAATTACATCTACAGTCTAATCCCATCCACTTCTAGAATACTCGTTGCCTTTGGTCTCATGAAAATCTGGCTGCAGTTTTGAACTTTGCAACTTAAACAACAGCTTTTCGGGAGAGAGAGAGTTTCAGAATTGTTCTCCTCTTTGGTGTGAAAAAGCATTCTCTAACATCATCCCCGCAGGGACTCATCTTAAGCCTTGACCTAAACTCTCCCATTAAAGGAAGTAGTTTCTCCCCACCTTCCCCTTATCAATTAATGTAATCATTGTAGGTTTCTCAATGAGATCAGCTGTTAATGTCACATACTGAAGGGAATTCGTTCTTATGGCCTGCCAAAGGTGTTGGAAGGATTAACAAAACTATACAGAACCTGTTTGAACATACTCCCCTTTGGTAACAGGTCCCAGAGTGTGATCTGAATCCGGAATTTCTGGCTCAGAGGCAGAGATGTACAAGTCCTCCTCTATTCTGTGAAAATTTGCTGTGGCCAATGTCTGGTTAACCTACACTGCACCCCCAACCCTACCCCTCCTAAAGCCAATGTGTCCTTTCCAGAATTGAGCACAGTATCCTAGAAGGGATCCAACCCCTGAATCATAGAATCCCTACAGTGTGGAAGCAGACCATTCAGCCCATCGAGTCCACACCAACCCTCTGAAGAGCATCCCACCCCTCTATTTCCCATGGATAACCCACCTACCCTACACATCCCTGAACACTACAGGCAATTTAGCATGGCCAATCCACCTAGCCTGCACACCTTTGGACTGTGGGAGGAAACCGGAGCACCCAGAGGAAACCCACGCAGACATGGGGAGAACGTGCAAACACAGACAGTCGCCCGAGGCTGGAATTGAACCCAGGTCCCTGGCGCTGTCAGGCAGCAGTGCTAACCACTGAGCTCCTGTGCTACCGTTCTGCCATGTTTTACACAATTTCAACATAATCTCTCCTCTATCCTGCAGCCCCTTTAAGATAAGAAGTAAGGTTCCAGTCTAGAGATAGTAGGAACTGCCGATGCTGGAGAATCTGAGATAACAAGGTGTAGAGCTGGATGAACACAGCAGGCCGAGCAGCATCAGAGGAGCAGGAAGGCTGATGTTTCGGGCCTAGACCCTTCATCAGAAAAAAAATGAAAACAAAAAAGAAAAGAAAATGTTCCAGTCTACCCTACACCAGTAAATTCAGTGACAACAGCTAACCCATTCACATTACTTTCTGTTACTCCATCCAGTTGTTTATTTTAGCGAAGAGTTGAGGCCCAGTACAGATCCCTGAGTCAGAAACTGCTAACTGTCGAACACCCCCATTACAACTGCTGTTAAGCTCCTAGACACTTCACCACTCATGCTGCAATTTTATACACTCCTGTTTATTTTATGGAATGCCATCCTGGGAGTCCACATAAACACTATCTGCGGGCACTCCCTTATCTCCTACAATCTTCCACCATTTCTCCTCAAAAATCTCAACGAGGTTTGAGGGTCATAGCATCCCAAAGGAGAGAACTGGTTAACCATTTACACGATGACACCGACCCTGGGAGGGGAATGAGTGGGATAGCTGTTAATTTTGGATGCTGGTATGCTTCCTGTCGCTGAGATTTGAGCCAGCAGTCAGAATGGAGATGCTCCTCTTCCTCTACATTGTCAGATTATCCCTCACTATCTGAGTTATTATAATGGAAATGCAGAGCTTTGTTGTGATGTGTTTTTTTGTGAAGCTTCATGCCTCCGTTTATAGTCAGTTGCTTAGCTGCTTGTGGGTACAGTGGTAGTGCCCGTACCTCTGAGCTAGGAGACCCACATTTAAATTTAAGAGACCCAGGTTAGGAACAATGCAGCGAGTGACTCACCTCCTGACTCCCCAAAGCCTGTCCACCATCTACAAGGCACAAGTCAGGAGTGTGATGGAATACTCCCCACTTGCCTGGATGGGTGCAGCTCCAACAACACTCAAGAAGTTTGACACCATCCAGGACAAAGCAGCCCCCACTTGATTGGAACCACGTCTACAAGCATCCACTCCCTCCACCACTAACGCTCAGTAGCAGCAATGTGCACCATCCACAAGATGCACTGCAGAAATTCACCAAAGATCCTCAGGCAGCACCTTCCAAAACCACAACCACTTCCATCTAGAAAGACAAGGGCAGCAGATATATGGGAACACCACTGTCTTCAAGTTCACTCACCATCTTGACTCGAAAATATATCCTGTTCCTTCACTGTTCCTGGGTCAAAATCCTGGAATTCCCTCCCTAAGGGCATTGTGGGTCAGCCCACAGCACATGGCCTGTAGTGGTTCAAGAAGGCAGCTCACCACCACCTTCTCAAGGGGCAATTAGGGAGAGGCAATAAATGGCTGGCCCAGCCAGAGACACTAATACCTCATGAGTGATCAAAAGAAGTCCCACCTGCACCAGAGGTGTGTAATGCCATCTCTGAAAAGGTTGATTCGAAGGTATTTATAATTGAAAGCTTTTGGTGTTTAGCATGTAGAGCTGCGTTTTGTTGTATTAGTTTGGAAACTTGTTCTCTGGTGCATGAAATGATGTTCCCTGTTGAACCAGTCTTCACTTCCCTGTTTGATTGTGGAATGTAAGTGATGGTTTGGGCTGTTAATGGTCCACAACAATGGTGGTACTGGTCTGTTATCTTTCTCTACAGTCTGTGCCACCTGATATGGCAGCAGTGTGCTACTCCTTGACACAGGTTAAACCGGATTTTAAAGCCGAGAGCTCCATTTTGCA